AAAAAAAATTATAAATGTTATTTCAGTTTGGAATGCGGTCGGCCTTGTTGGTGTTGTTGATCGCTCTGCTGTTAGAATTGGTCGTTACCGATGAAGATTATTACAAGATCCTCGGAGTTGCAAAGGATGCCGATGATCGAACAATCCGAAAAGCATTCAAGAAACTAGCCATGCAAAAACATCCTGATAAAAACAAAGTGAGTTTACGTTGCTGCTCCTCGTGACCGTTGTAGATTTTCGATTTTTATAATAAAAACGTTATTGAATTTGTTCTCGAATGTGAAATAGTTTTCTATTTGTTTCCTGGACTGAAGTCTATTCCGAAGAAGTGAGAGCCTATCATTAAATTATACATCTACAGGATAATCCAAATGCTCATGCAGAGTTCGTGAAAATCAACAAGGCCTATGAGGTTCTGAAGGATGAGGACCTGCGAAAGCGATACGATCAGTATGGAGAGAAAGGACTAGAAGAAGGTTTCCAGGGTGGTAATAACTACCAGTCGTGGCAGTTCTACAACGAGAACTTCGGTGAGTTACTTAGGATCTCACCACTCACTGAGTTGTGTTTTCTCTTTTTTTTGAGCACGTTTTACTCCTTTTTATGCTTTCTTTCACTAACTCGGGTGACTGGGACTGAATGAGCCCCCACTCACCTTAAGTGATAATGGTGGGCGTGGCGTGCACAAGGAAGAACTTCCTTGTCACCCACTTCATGTTTTCGTCTTCTCAAAAGTTCAGAAACAGTTTTAACATAAACTCTATTTTCTTTCAAATGGCGTTCATTAGTAACCATGAATAGGATAATTCAACAACACTATTATTACCTATTTGACATAAACTCTTTCTTCATGCAGAAGCGGTGTGGCATGCTCCTGAACTTTTACTCCTTCTAGGAATTTACGATGATGATGTGGAGATCGTGACGCTGAATCGAAACGACTTCCAGCGTATGGTGACCATGTCAACCGAGATATGGTTCATCAACTTTTACTCTACTTACTGTTCTCATTGTCACCAACTGGCACCTACGGTAATTCTGCTGTTTATTCAATTCTCTTCTTTAGGCACTTCGTTCTTACTGAAATCTTTGTAAAGCGTGTGGGGGTGTCCAAGTGACCGTGCTAATCTAGTTCTATCTGGTAAAGTGTCCGAGTTTCCTCTCTGAGCTAGCCGCCAATGACAGGAATTCGATTAGAAATTAAATACGAGGATCGCATCTAGCAGAATGCGTTGAAATTTCTAGCAGGACATGAGAAGCGAGAAAAATTCGGTCTTTCGGGATTTTTTTCCCGCCGATGGCCGCCATTTCCCTAAGAAAATAATGGAAGGTACTCCATTTTGACTTCTGTTGCACTTTAACAGTCGTAGTTTTTATGTGGACCAGTTGGGCTACGCACGCCAATGCGTGCACCACATGCCCACGCGATTAAAAGTGTCAATCGGTTGCTCTTGATCTTGAGAATTATGAATCATTAAAGGTTTAACTGATAGGCAACCAATGAATTGAGTAGTACTCACTAATGTTCTCAAGTGATAATAACACCATTATAAGATTTCGTTATCACTGGACCTTCTTTCCTCCACGGGTACATCATTAGTTGAGTATCCCAAATTATTTGGGGTCGGATGACCTTTGTCGTAAATGATATCNGTTTTAACATAAACTCTATTTTCTTTCAAATGGCGTTCGTTAGTAACCATGAATAGGATAATTCAACAACATTATTATTACCTCTTTGACATAAACTCTTTTTTCTTCATGCAGAACCGGTGTGGCATGCGCCTGAACTTTTACTCCTTGTAGGAATTTACGATGATGATGTGGAGATCGTGACGCTG